CTTTCCCTTCGTGCTTTCCTCGTCGGTGTTTCATTATGTCGTTGTGCTTTTATTCAATTTTATTGATGAATTCCACTCCAATTATTTTCATCTCATTACACGCTGGCTATTTGACTTTTCCCTTTAGAGAGAAATATATTCAATTAATATTACGGAGATTTATTTATTTACCAATTAGTTGCAGTTTTAATATATAATTTATAATGACGATCAATACAGCCGAAATGAGCATAAATTTTTTATGAAATATGAAATGGTGAAATGAATGAATGAGTGTGAATATAGTTATTACAAATTATTGCAGATTTTCATTGGCCAATAAGTTAACAGCTCTAGCTTATAGAGCTTATAGAATTGTATATAGCATTGTTAAAAACAAAAAACAAAAAAAAAAGTAAATTTGCAGTTGTATATTTTCATTTGCAAAACGATATAATAAAAATACAATGAAATTGTAAAATCTAATTAATTTCATATAAAAGCACAACATTGAAATAAGAATATCGTATCTTTATCGAAAATATTGTAATTTTTTTTTAGTAATACATCAATTAAGTGGTAAAGGCAAAGGTAAATAGATAAAGTTAGGAAAAAAAGTCGAATGATTACAAAAGGAAAGTTTCATACTAATAAGATTACTGTACTTCTAAGAATACAGATTACCGAATATTATTTATTTAAGATAAAAAAAAAAAAAGGTTAGATAACATAATCTATATTTATAATATATTATTTATTCGATAAATAATAATAATGTTTTAAATAAACCAATATTTTTTATAAAATAGAGTCGACAAAATTAACAATTATTTTCAGATATTTTATAAACTAACGTTAAAAGTCAATAAAAGAATATTCAAAGTTTTTATAAATAATCTAGACAAAATCTACTGTTATAAGGGGATACTTACAATAAAATTATATTCATAAATTAATATTGCTTATCGCATATGAATTTGAATGTAATTTATATACAAAAAAATAATGTAAATATTTTTGAATTTTTAAAAATTGCGTTCGCATTATAAAAAATCGACGAATATTCAATCTTTCGAATTTTTTTAACTTGCGTTTTTACACAAATTTACATTGTATAGATATTTATTACATTTATCAAATGTTATCCCATTATAAGAATATTACATATATTCAATTTGATTTATATGATCAATATTCACTTGTTCACATTTATTGAGATGTATTCGTTTACACATGATCGATCGTTTTAATTTTAATAACATTTTATCTTTCTCAAATAAGTAAATATTTACTCCGATTACACTAATATTAATATTTATTACTTCGAGCGATAACAGCTGATCCTCTATATTTATGATTACTCTTTTTATCGAATTTTACAAAATTTTTGCACAATGATCTACGCACGATCATAAATAATAATTTTAATTTACTTTCTGTATATCATTAGAATTAAAACAAATCAACTAAATATTATAATTAATCAATATTATTATTATTTTACTATTCATTATTATATTATTATATTATTATATTTTTTTTTTTTTTTTTAGATTGTCAGCTATTAGCTATATTTGTGCAAAGACATGATATTATACGTAATATTTTTAGACTAATATTTTTTTTTATTCTTTTTGTTAATTTGCGTATAATAATTCCATTGCATATTTAATATTCTCGCTCTGAAGTTTTTAATAAGTGTTATCATTACATTTATTATTATGATGTAAATTATAAAAATCCAATCCTATTCAATGCTGCTATATTGAAAATATTAGAAATTGCATGCTCTTAAACAATTGAATGCAATTATGAAAATTTCTATTTCTTATATCGATGTGTTACAATCTATTTATAAAAATATACATCATTTTCAGTATTTTTCCAGAATATCTGTAAATATAAAAACTACTAATTATAATATAATAATAATAATAATAATAATGTAGAAATGCATATTAATCCTAAAGCAAAATTTTATAGAAAAATCACTAGTAGTTTGTAGTAATATTACAAATATACGTGTGTATACGTAAACATCGTATATTATTGTAAACATACGTAAATTATTGTAATTTAACGGATAAATAAAAATGTGGTTTTATCGTTAAATTTGAAAATACCGCACAAAGTACTAATATTACTGTTGTCCATACCAAATAAGTCAGTAAAAAGATATAAAAAAATGATCAAAAGGGCATGTCACGCACACACACAAAAATATAATGTGCTTTGAACTGCATTCGGACATTAATCACAATTAATAAGTAGAATTATTGTTCATTAAACGAACACGATATAGGATAAGATGGCATATTTACATTGACGTTGCCAATTGACGTGAAAAATAAAATTTATGATGCTTTAATAAAAATGGTCTGATAATGTGTAATACAAATAAAAATAAGAAAAAAAAATAAAAATAAATAAACGGAAAGAGTTCTATGAATTTAAAATAAAAATAAACTATAATATTTGCAATATCAGAGTATGAAATAGCGTATTACAAAGATATAAATATTGAGGCCAAATTTTTACTAATATTTATAAAATTCAACAAATTTTCATTGTCTTAAATTCTTATCTTGAGTTTGACCTAAAATTTATAAGAATTGGGCTGCATTGATTAATAGATCATTAGATTGTCAATTATGTCAGACGATCATTAAATCTATAATAAGGCATATTAATTTTGGAAATGTTCGCTCATTAGGGTAATTCTTCGCATTATCCATGGCATTAAATGAATTGAAAATTGTCGATTCATTAATCGGTTTCAACGATATAATGACCATGAAAATCCAAAGTATGATTAGCCGTACCGTGTCACGAGCACACTTTACACAATTGTAAAACATTGAATACCTACAGTCCTACACTTTTTAATGACATTAAATTGCGCATTCGTAGCACGTAGTCTACTACGTACGACCGACCACGTTACTTTTATCCTTAAGAAACTTTCGCGTCGATCGGGTTATATCCATCTTCGTTCCCTCCCACTCTCTCTCTCTCTCTCTCTCTCTCTCTACATCTCGACTACGCATACGTAGGAAATGGGAATTCTAACCAAACATGCAAACATTATACTTCGTATCCATCCAGCTTTAAAACCACTATTCACCCATTTCATTATTATTACTCGTAAGAGACTTTCTCGCATTGACCCTCCCTTTCTCTACCATCCATCTCCATGACCCATAAAACTTTGAAAACTTTTGCCCGCCTAAGAGACATGGCGAACGTTCCTAAACCGCATCCAAGTTTACGCTAGGAAAGCCAAGTTACGGAATTAGTAGTACCGAGGTAGCGCACACACACACACACACGCATACATCCCTCACTCACTTTCAAACAGTTGAATCGTGCTCGGCAGATAGAAATTCCCGCAACTGAAGTTCCCTGTAAAGTAGATGTCCCCGTCGGCGAAGTCTCCGAAGGGACCGTCGAGGCTCATCGCCATGGCTCCTGGTGCTTGGGGCAAGCCGTAAGTGTAGACCAGGAAACGGCCGTCGCGCTCACCATAAACTTATTAAATGTAGCAACTGAGAGTGACGAGGCACGCGAGCCGTTTGAAAGCCCCGAGAGCCAAAGGTTTCCCGTAACTCGCCTTCCCCTCCCCGCGGACAGCCGTTAACCGGAGTTCGGACGTACTTTTACTTTTCGCGGTAGGCGTGCGACGACGATCGAAACGCGTTGGCGCGACGTTGGAAATCGCAAACTGCTACTTTCCCTCCTCTTCTCCTTCCCGATGCTGGATTTCGAAAATCTCCGTGTCTCCTGGTGGGGACTCATTCGTTTTATTCGTTTTTCCTTCATCTTCTTTTTTTTTCTTCTTTATCGAATAGCTGCCAGTATAACTTGCTTCCGTTCTCGCTCGCCTTATTTATTTCCCCACTTTTTCCCCATTATCTCGCGAATTGATAATACTATCCACTACTATCCACTACTACTACTACTACTACTACTACTACTACTACTACTACTACGTCGCTCACCCTTCGCCTACAGTGGCAATCGCATTTCAAGGTTAAACACGCGTTTGTTTTCCTTTAACATTTAGGAGAATGAAAGACAAAGGAGCAACGATGTTGACATTGCTTTAACCTGTCCTTATAGTCAACGGAACTACAATTTGCTTTCGTTCGTAGCTGGTTTACGTTGCTATGTACATGCATAATTGCACACCATTTATCCCAACGTCTGCTTTTAACTAGGAATGGAATTTTTGCCAATTTGTTTGAATTTCAAAGGTTTGTTTGCCTGATTATTTTTATTTTTCAAATATTTTTCCAACAATTTATTCGATAATATATAGTTGGAATTTATGATGATTACAGTCGATAAGGTTGTTCCCAATAGGATTAGCAGAGAATGGTACGTAAGGATATCGACCGTCGGTCTACACTAAAAGATTTTTATAAATCAAAATCTTCCATACCTCACGTGGAAAACATTTAACGCGACTATGTATGTGATTAATGTTTTTCATATTATTTAAACAAATTTCCTCTTTACTAAATGTAAATTTATAATATTTTTATGACGGAACAGTAAAACAACAAATGAAGAAAAAAAAAAGAAACAAAGAAATAGATATATATATATATATATATATATATATATATATATGTTTAGTTAGAAATATAATGGATATTAAGTAAGTAGAACATACGAATTACGGAGTAATTACTTAATTATCAAATCATAATACCTTATATTAATTACTTCATTATACAGTCTATACTTTCATAATTTCAATTTAGTAATAAAATTGTTGCTTCTATTTATAGAATATTCATAGAAACGTATTGCGATAAATAAATAGAATAATTAAAAATTTAACTCTTATTTATTATATATTATTATAATATTTTATAAAAATGTTCTTATGTCGGATGTTAATATAAAATAAAAATTCATTATCAATTCATTATTGAATGTTTGTCATTGTTCTCTTATACTTTACCGTTCGTATACAAGATATCATAAGCGATGACAATACTTCGATAATTTTGATTCTTTTTCTTTTTAATTCTATTTTAAAACTTTACGATGTTTTAGATTATGACAAAATCAAAAGATTTGTAAGATGTAAATTTGCGAAAATTGTAATAGCAGTAATGTGCCAATACATTTATAAATACGTTAAACTGTATAGAAACTATACAGACATACATCTGCGTGTTAAACAAAAAAAAAAAAGTTTTACTGAGGCAATGAACTTTTAAACGTTCTAATATTGGCTGTATTTTTTTTTTTTTTTTTTTTTTTAATTATATTCGACATCTCCCTACAACATTTACAAATAAACATAATTTATATTACAATCTACTCTATTTTAGCTAATCTACAATATTTTTAATTTTCATTTAAACATATATATTTATTAAAATATGTTCGTTATATTTGCATATAATAACTTTAATGAAAATTATTTTCCAATTAAATAGAATTTCATGATAACATTTAAAAAATTTAACATATCATATATGTGAAATTTATGATCACGTAGTCTTGATTTAAATATCCCCATTATTAATTAGTGTCATAATTTTCAAAAGAAAACCTGATATTGATAAAATGAAAAATAAAAAATCAATTTTTATTGGTTATACAAATCATACAAATACAATAAATATCGATTTTCTAAATTGGGATATTGCTTATTATATTTATATAACAATTATATCTACACGTGAGCTGTTCATATAAAATTAATCTAAAAATTTAAAACGCTTACCGATAGTATAAATAGTGTAAAAACTTATATATATATATAGTTAATAGTCAATATAACCAATTAAATTTATTTAAAAGTTTTGCTGCGAATTGAAAATTATTCTATAAAAAACATAGAAGAATTATATAAATTTTATTACAATTGTCTTATTTCATTATATAAGTTTCGTGATTTTCTTACACGTACATGTACAGTGACTCATCACTGATAAAGTACAAATAAAAGATATTCATTTTCTTATGCAAAAAATATGCAATGAACGTGGTACAATTTGATTAACTTGAAAAATTCATGCTATGTGTTTTTATAAATAGACGTAGTCTGAGTTTTATAAAGAAATGCAGACAATTAGGAAGTTATATTTTTGAAAAAATTATTCATGAAAATATTAAATTAAAAAGAAATAAAATCACATTTAAATCATAATTTTATGAAAATAGCAAAATGCATAGTTATTGTTTTTTTGTATACATGTATGGTTATATTGATGGGTAATATATGTCACAGATTCTTAAAAATAACAGTGATGGTGTATTCGTAATAAGTATGACTTGTCATTTTACTCTAGTAATAATACACAATAAATTTCTGATAAAATATATCTGTAGTGGTACAAAAAAGATTCGTTTTCGAAAGAATTTCCTCTACTTATTAAGACAATTTTAAAAAATTTTTATTCGTTTGAAAATTAGATAATATTTTTATTTATAGTTCTAAATCCATTCGAAATCAAATTTAAATAATATTTATCGGGATAGAACGGAAGCTTAATAAACATTAAAATTCATGCATATTTATATTATAGAAACAAAAATTATAACTAAAACTTATAATAAAATGATGAGTTTCAATCTTTGATATTTACCTTTTGATGAAATTTATATTTGTTACTCTTACAAACGTAAAAATTACGCATATTATAAAAATCTACAAGTTTAATCGTTATGTAAATAGCTTACTAGGCTAATTAATTAAATAACCTGTTTTTGTAATGATAATAATAACCATAAACTTACTTATATATATATATATATATATATATATATATAAATAAGTAGCTTCACTTGTAATTACTTACTCGATAATACTAATCCCTCTAGACATCTATGTCTATTTAATTTCGATTTAATTGATTTTAATTATTTAGTTATAATTTCGTGCAAATTTATTACGATAAGTTTGTTTTCAAATCGCACTAAAAAAATAGTAAATGAAATTAAATATGTGAAATTAGTATCAGATTTTTAAGTCCCAAAGATGCAAATATTCATTATATGCTATAATAGATATCAATTGAAATTTGTTTTAAAAGTTAACTGGCAACCGATCTTAACTATTCCAAATAGATACTCAAAATAGTACTTAAGTTTTAGTTGTAATAAATAATGTTTCTTATGTATTAGATTATTAAAAAAAAAAAAAAAAAAACTATTCTATTCTAACGTAAAATGTTATAATTTTAAATATCATAAAACATAATCGATGGTCTTGTAATGGTAAATCTGACTTACTATGTTTTCTTTACTATGCTTATTAAATTACTGACTTTTTCGAAATTTTAATGTCCTTCTCATCAGAATATGGTAAAAATGGCCAATTTAAAAGATTAAACGATCTAAAAAAAAAAAAGACAAAACTCATACCGTAAATAGAGGAATACGTAATATTTCGCATTGTGTAGATGATTAAAGCAAGATGTCATCAATTCGGGGGTTCGCATAACCTTGACTTATCGACTTTGCTTTTTGAATCTCCCATGATAAAACCATTCGCTTTCATAATGAAACGTTTTAATAAAATTATTAATTATAATGCTAATTATTAAAATTGTGGAGTATCTTTTTTCTGCATTTTTTTTTACTCTTATCATTCGGTATAAGTTCGCCAATCTATTATGCTTTCCTTAATTAATACAAAATAATGATGAAAAACGCGTTTTACAATATATGCGTCAATATTGCTTATACTTGTATTTGCTTTCAAATTTCTTACATATAATAACGTTTTATTCTTCATAGAGCATTTGAATACGTTGAGCGGGTGATTCTTATCGTGGCGATAGGATTAAAAAATTTTCCAATTAATTATTTTTGAATAAAATTTCCATAGCAAAAAAATATTTGGAAAGTTAATGAAGGCGATATTGCGAATATCGCGTTGGGCTTAATTTAAAGGCTCCGATGATGATAATCTTAATCTCCCTAATAATATCAGCTCGGCGCATACACTGCATAAGCAATTACAATGTACCTACACGGCCGCACACAAGTGAAACTCCAATTGAATAAATCATTAGGAACTCGTTGTGCACGGGGACGATGAAGGATCGTACGACTCTTCACTTTCACATTCAGCTGAAGCAAAAGAGAAAAGAGAGATTATTCTTACCGAGACAATATATCTTCGGCAGCGGTGCGACATCCTCGCCTCTAACAAGCGCGAGGCGATAAAAACGCCTCGAAAACGAAATTCAGGGGGAGCTTCACGAGCGGAGCGAAGGTCGGCTGAACGATGTCGGCGTTCCCATTCCCGAGACTTTCCTTTTCCTTGAACTTGCCGAAACCTAGGGGGAGGGAGTCGCGATAGAGCGAACCACGCTAACGTTAAATTACGATGCCTAATGCTTAGGTAAACACGCTAATACTCGCGGCTATTGGTCGTGGGATCGAAAGTGAATTTCACCTGGAAAAGATCGATGCATCCTCCTTTAATACCTCGAGTCTCCGTTGTTTCTCAATAATGCGCTTCACATGTAAAGTGCACTCCGACATTTTCAAGTCGCAGAGATACTATATTAAGGTATCTAGTATTAAGGAGAGTGTAATTTACGTCCGCGCGTTCACATATTTATGATATCGTTGAAATGAAAGTACAGACAATGAATGATAGGAGAGACCAAATAATTAAAAAAACTATCTATCATTGTCAAATTTATGTATTCGAAATTTATGTATTCGAATTCGAGTATTTGCTTATTTATTTATTTGTATATTTTATTACTGGTAATTACTATTGAAATATGATTAGTTAGCAGTACAATATATGTTTAAAAAAAATTAATGATAATCTAGCATTTATCAAATAATGATAAATAAAACAATAAGATAATTGTTAGTGCCAATCGAGTAGCTTATATACTTAGTTGATTAGTCGATGTAAAAATAATATCTATTATTATTCTTATTATTATTATTATAATCATCTATTATATTATCGTAATTATTATTATAATTTTGCGTCGATTATCCAGGAGGTGTTTTAGTTTATTTTAGTGATATTTTGTAAGATCCACATTCAAATGATTTCATTTTATTTAATCAATTATAATGTTTTTTTTTTTTTTTTTTTTTTTTTTTTTTTTTTTTTATTAAACCCTAATTATATAGAGCATAAAAATTATTATCGATTCAATCAGTACATAAGATTTTCTAGTAATTTAATTTTCAAAGACATAACAAACAATGTTGGATTACAGTTGAGATTATACGTTATGAGATTATATTAAAACAAAATTTATTATTTACAAAAATCCTCGAAACACATCGTATATTTGTAATTAACCATTTGATAAAAACTTGTTGCACACTATAAAAGTAAAAGTAAAAGTAAATAAAATCGGAATAACATTAGATACATTAATTTAATTAAGTTTTATGCTGTAAATGAAATATTCTATAAAATCATTAAAAATATAATAAAGTTCTCTAATGCAAAATAATCGACGATTTATATGTTATGATTGTAAATATTCAGTGGATGTACCGTCAAACATATTTGAAGTTTTCGAAAACTTGAATTCTTAAATAGATAATTTTATCCAATAGGCATTTGATTGATTAATACGAAACGTAAAATTTTACCTGTATAGAGTGTTAAATTAACGTAAGTGCTTAGCGTCTGAAAATATTTAGCCCACATAACAAAAAAATGTTTTGCAAAAAGTAATGCACGAATCGTATTGATTGAATTACCTATTTTCTTTTCTGCACATTATGGTTATTGCCGTTCTCTTACATGTTAAAATTGAATCCAATTGAAGAAAGCAGAAATGCATATTTATGTAAATAAAATAAAATTGTTTTACTTATGCTTGCGAATTATTATGCGAGATAGAAAATATTATATTACCAAGCAGACGTCTTTCCACTGATACAGATATGTCCTGACGGCAGTGAAGGATTACCAGGAGATAAAAAAGGAATTGCACGAATCCTATGTTTTATATGATCAAACAGACCGCAATTACCGACACTTTTTACTCACATACACTTGACATATACAAATGCAGATAAAGCGTATGCAGTAATACCCACATGCACAATATAATACAAAAAGAAATAGTTTTTACAACCAACATATAATGAATATGAAACGATAGATATCGGCTCTCGACGTGACATGAATCGCGCGCATCCGATCGTTTTTCTAATGTCTAACAGTCTATAATAAAGTACATAAGGTTTTATTTTCTTTTTATTTCCATAACATGAAAATATCACATCTATAATTATACCCAATGGTTAATATAATGCAAATACGTTATTTTTCCTAACCTGTTCTCACATGCATCGTTTTTTAGCAAAAAAAAAAACTTGTCGCTAAAAGTGAACGAACGCACGTTCTAGGCAATAATATATATTTCGATTATAACTTTTAAATAATAGCATATTTATAAAAATAAATAAACACAACATAAAATATATTTATACACATAGTGCGTAGATTAAAAAACAAACAAGTTTTTAATAAATAAAATGAAATATCTTTAAAGTAATTGTAAAAAATAATTCAATTTTATGTTCATTATATAATACGTTCCCGTTTATGTTTTATATTACAAACAACATAATTAATTGCTTGCAATTAGATCAGATTAATGGAAGAATTCGTTGTCATGCAGCGGATAAATATCAATGACTGAATTACATATAAATACTGTATAGTTGAAATTTTGATTAATTTTTTGTTGTAACATATAAAGTGAAAAGATTATTGAATAATATGCCATTCCAAAAATAATTTTATCCAAAAGGAATAGACACAAAAGCATAAATTTACATTTATCTTTCGATTTATTGTTATAAACTTATTGTTATAAATCCACGTTTAATTAACAAAAAAATAATGTCAATCAAAATTTTAAACATTCGGTAATACAATTTATTAGACACTGATTTACATACTGTTAATTAACATTTTTTTTTTTTAATATTTCGTTGAATCTTATCGACTTATCGAGCACTTGCATTCATACATTATATAATTTATTAAAAATATTATTCTTGTACAAATTTATAAAAATATTGTATTATTGATTGTTTTAAGTTTAATTAGTTTTTATTAGTTGTAGATTGATTAATTTTTAAATTAATGTTTAAATTAAGATTAACTTTTAAATTAAAATTACAAGTATTTAAGATAGCTTATATACATATTGGAGCTTTATGAAATATAGGATTCATTTTTTACTAATTTTGTGTCTTGAAATTTTTATTGAGAATGATTAATGCAAGAATCTCTATATTCATGTGAGCAATAATTCACATGAATAAATATTGCATTTTATTTCTTTAGTTTATTCAAATTTATAGCAAACAGAGTTGTAGGTATTTTTTAAACTATGTTTATCAATGTTCTTAAACTAAATTTTTATTAAAAAATATAATATAAAATAAATTAAAGAAAATCAATATGAAATACACTCAACATTTGTATTAAAAACATTTGAATTACTAATAACATCGTATCAAATAGATTTGATTTTTAAGATTAATAGATTTGCAATGCGAACAATAAAGGATAGTGTAACTGCCAAATAATTTACCTCCTGCAATAAAAGACTATGATATCATTTATAATTCACTATTGTTTTGTTTTATTTTAGTCTTTTTATCTAATTGAATACTTGTTCTATTCCCTTCAAAATATCAATTCGGAATTAACTATTGAATTAATACATTTAAGATTCGCTTGTCGCTGATAATGAAAAATGTTTCATCCAATAAATTACTAAATTGCTCACAATTATCTATTACCATAATACGAACAGAAATAACGTTGTGAAATGAAATTGCTCACAATTAATTATCTATTACCATAATACGAACAGAAATAACGTTGTGAAATTTATTTAAAAATAAACGAGCGTTATATTTTCACTTACTTAAATAATTTTGTATTTACGGACAGAGGGGAAATTTACGTTTACTATAATTGTATCTTGTCACAAAATGAAAATTTGCCCCATTGACTTCTAGTGAAAAATACAAAGTAAAGAAATTAATAGTTATGATTACAGTGAACGGTTATTTTCTATTAGCATTAATTAGACGAAAAGATTTCAAAATTGTTTAATACATAACTCACGTTAATTAAAGGCAAAACACCGTCGTTCACTCGCTGAAAATTCTAATCAAAAGTGCTGAAGCCATACAGCAATGTTGAGCTTCTGACACAAATCAGCGGCTGTAAGAAAAGTCGCGGATTTCCATACGGTATGCACATATTAATGTACACGTTTGCGCGTGTCGATATCCTGTAGGAAGGGGAAGAGTGAACGTTCCCAGTCGAACGGCTTGAAGAGAGAGAGAGAGAGAGAGAGAGAGAGAGAGAGAGTGCGATGTTGGAAAGTAAGCAGGTATAGTTGAAAGCGGACGGGTCGCCGACAGTCAGTTGCAGAGTAACTGACCCCACGTCAAGAGAGTCGTTGCCGGAGTGAGATGGTGAGTGTCAGGAGATTGTGACTACGTGCGCGAGTGCCGAATCCTGAATTTGTCTTTTTCAGTATTTTATTTTATTATTAATTTTATTTGTTCTTTGTTTTTAATTTTTTTTTTTTTTTTTTTTCGTTTTGTTATTGTTTTGCTTTATAAGAATGAAAGTTAAAGTTATAAGTATTTCGCACGGCTGGTGTGACTGATAAGATAATTCGTAGTGTTGCTACTCATATTGTCTCTTAAAATTTCACAGCGAATTTGGCATTTTAGATTAACGGATTGCATTAACGGATGTAAATTTTATGCAACTAGTTTTTGACCTCCAGAGTAAGATATTCACTTCTCTTTACGGCGCGTACCAGATTCGCTTTCTAAATTAATGCGATTGAGTGTTCGCATGATTACTTGTTTCATATTTTATTGATTTAATAATTTTCACTTCAGCTTAGACTATTTACATAAGGACGTAACGAAGGGTTCAGTTTACCGAGCATATTTTCACTTGTTATGAAAAATCTGCTCATTGAAGCAGGATAAATTATTTATATAGAACGAACTTTTATTTCTTTAAAGTTTTAACGTTCCACTCTAAAAGCTGACAATTCGATTATTTAAAAATAAATTTGCTTAATATAAATGTGTCGATATGCTATTCAATAACAGCTCCAATACTTTAATTAATTAATGAATAATTTATTGTATCTTATTAAATACATATTATTAAGAGTCTTAAAAAACTGTCTCCTAACCAGTTCAATCGAGTTAAATTCAAAATTTAATATAGATTATCAGAATTGTGTGTATATATATATATATATATATATATATATATATATATATTGTGACAAATATTATAATATAACAAAGAACATATAAAAGTTTTTTAATCATTTTCTATAAAATGAATTAATCTTCAAACAGAACTTGATATATCTAGTATTGAATAATCTAAATGCTAAATTAAGAATATTGTATTAATATAAATAATTTTCCGTTTTATTTTAACAAAAAACGAAGCCAAAATGTATCATTATTCCTTATCTAAGGTTTAGAAATCATATATAAATTATATAAGAAAAATTATAAAAGCAATACGCATTAATATTTACTGTTGATTTTTTTTTTTTTTTTTTTTTTTTTTTTTTTTTAATACAATAATGCGTGAACTTTTCTGTTTTTCGTAGTAAAATTATGCTATTCGTAGTAATTAATGTGTCACGTACGCCTCTTGAAAATGCTTCTGCAAAACAGTATGTTGACAAACTTTTCTTTCTCGCCACTAGAAAAATTTAAATTGTCCATGAAATATAAATAGTATTTCATGTTTATATATTTTGTAAACTGTATTAAATAAGAATGATTTAGAGAGATTATGTAAAATCGTGCCACGAAAGTCCTTGATGCCTGAAATATATTTACTGCTTTAGGCAATTCCTGCGAATTACAATATTTAGTGTCTCAACTTTTTAAACTTTTTACTGATATTTATCTTTTAGGAGAAAAAAAAAATTAATTACTTTATAGAAAGTTATAAAAAGAAAATTTAATATCGTTCTAGTTCATATAGAAAGTTGCGTTATTTTGTATGGCACTTGACAGCGACTATTTAAGAAAGTGATACGTATGATTCTGGAATTTTTAATTAATTATAAAATCATTGACATTATTACAGATATTTAACTCTATATGTTCTCATAAAATCGGCTCGCTCAATCAACTGAGAAAATGAAACATCAAGTTTCTTAAAATTACGCGACTGATAAAAGAAAAGAAGAAAAAAACACGAAATATTTATAATAATTTAACATTCTCTTACGGTATACTTTTATAAGACAAAATGGTGTTTTGTATCAATGTAAGATCTTTCATCTTGAAAATCTCATATTTTTTGCACTATGCATTTATGCATCGGTGCACTACTATTTATAAATAGAAGCCAAATAAATCAATGGATGAATGCACATTCAATAGTTCAAGTTCGAAGACAAATTTTTTTGTAATTTAATAAATGTTTTACATACACAGTCTTGGAAACTGTTAAAAAAACTCAATTGATATTATAATAAATAATTCATAGTTACGATACTTCGTTGCTTGCACGATTATTTACATCACATATATTTTTTTTACAATTACATAGGTGATACTATTACTTAACGTCTAATAACCATTTCAGTTTAATCAGGCAATAAAAAACTTTCGTTCTTCATTTGAATAACACGTTAAGAAATAATTATGAATATTTCATTTATTTGCTAGTTATAGAAATATTTTCATAAGTAGCGTATACATTCGAATGTTATTAGTTTCATTATACAATTATAATCATTATTTTATGTAGAAAATTACCGACTATATCGATTCACAATTCTCATCCTCAAAACTCAACATCCTCAATAGAAATAAAAACAAAACTTATTATTTTCTTGAAATTTTAATCGATTTCATGAGTTTAATGTAAAAGAGGATGATTTCGTTCATTGTTCATGTATAAATATCGAGCACATTTGTTAATATAATATACATATTTCTATTTAACTGCCTATTGTTGTATTTATAGAAAAATCATAATAGTCTACGGATATCAATTAAATTGTAAATGAAAATTGCACTTATATAAACTAAATATGCTTATAACTTTTTTCTAAATTTTCAACATTCATCGATACATCGAATATTCAAGAATCAATAATTTATTCTTAAGGCATATAACATCATCGGCTATATCATCTAAAATGAAAATATTAAATAGAAATAACGTTATTAGAAAATATTCAGTAAATACATTTTCCACCATTACAATTATTACCTAAAAAAAAAAAAAAAATAAAAAAAAATTTTAAAAAAAAAAAAAAAACATATTTTCATTATTTAAACATATTTCATTATCATACGTATATTATAATAATTTTCACGTAAACTCATGATTTATAATGATAATTCTTAAACCTTTTATCCATGAAATATAGCTATTTAAAATTTTTAATGAAATTTCATTCTAAATTATTGTATCCGTAAAAATACAAATATGTTCTTTTAATGATATATTGTAAAAATATTTTTTAAATATTATCAATTAATCATTTGTATTGAATATAAATAGAATGAGAAAATTACAAACAAAAAAAAAAAACAAAAAAAAAAAAATTAAAAGAAATTCTTACCATATTAAAGAGTATGCAAAATCTAGAATTATACAACAGTAGGCTTAGGCTCTTTACATATCTGAAAATATTGTTAGAAAAATATATTGTTTATTGAACGAAAATAAGCGTATTGGAACGGTAATAATCGCCTGCGTAATGTGACTCGATCTAAGCGACGATTAGTGTCGTCTCATTCGGCAACTGAACTTTCTCAAAATCCATGAGGTCAAAGATCTCGTTGAAATCGTAAGAATAAAAAACATAAGAATTTCACACATACACATCACATTATATTAATAATACTGACAACTTTAACTCCGCCTGCGAATTTCGGATAATTTATACAATCCGTTATTGATTGTAGTAGGCATCGATAAAATAATTGGTCCTAGGACAACACATGTGTTCAATCGAACAAATCAATACAATTTGCAGATATTTTTTATTGTATTACTACTCTCTTTCCGTGGTGTAAATAAGTTCGTTAGTTGAATACAAGCAATTGCCTGTTAATTATTTAAATCAATTTTTAAATAATTATTCATAATTTTAATATTAATTTTAAGTATAATAAGATAGCTAAACAATATTAACCTCTTTTATATAAGGTTGTTATAATAATAATCCCCGTTATAAATGAACGATCAATGTTTTAATATTTGGTTATACTGTTAATTAGTATTGCACAGTATAATGTTAGTAATAGAATAAATTTAGGTATGCGCGTGTGCGAATTTGGTGCATGTGTATGCATATTAGTGGCTCATAATATTGTTAAATAAAATTTTTTTTTTTTTTGTATTATCATTACATGTGCAGCTACATAGTTTTACGTATAAAATTGTACAATTAATATAATGTACATGTGAAGTAATCAAATAGATTTAATTAAATTATTTTCAAATGTTAACAATTGTAAGATATTCATAGATAAAAATAAATAAATGTTTGAAACTTTTTTTTTTGTAATTTTATAACATATATATTAATTAGATATGACATTTATATTTTTCCCACATAAACGTAGTACATATTTTATGATATTATGATGAATACAAGGATATTAGACATGTTTTTTTAGGTATTCATAAATATTTCATTCTTATTCCAAAAAGGAAATTGTATATGCTAAGATAATGTTAAGTAATACATAGGAGTAATATGTAATAAACATGACTTTTTTTTTTAACAAGAGTATTTCATTTATGCGATGATGTTTGCATGTAATTTACCATAATGTTATTTATTGAGTTTTTTAAACTTCGCATAAAATGTAGGTCATGTAAATCTTGTTTTTTACATTGCGTTACATTGGTATCTATTGAAAAAGAATAAAGAAGAATTAATTTTAGAACGATCATTTTCAGACCATGAAATATTAATAATTTATTAGTAATTTTATAATATATGAGTATATTTATAGTAATATTTATAAAATATATATAATACTTTGATTGTATAACTTACATGTTAAAGCCTAATTAAGAAAGAAAGATATAAATACAATTTTAAATTCTTAACGAAATAAGCAATAGATATTAATTGAATTGTATTATTAACAATATTAATTTACAATTTTATTCTTTTAAAATAAACTTAATGATTTTAATTTCCGAAATTTTATTTTACATTTATATAATGTATAGGATGCATAGTATGTTGTTCTTATGTGCGGTATTTAAGAAACTTTCCTTTTCATCTATATACATTTATATAGATGTTTAGTAGAAATTTTGACTTTGTGGTACTTATTGATTAAAATAAACACGATGAAAAGATGAAATAAAATTTATATAATAAAACAAATATATATATGCAATAAATTTATATTGTTATAAGATATTTTTTATAAAAATACAATATTCATTGATTTAAATCATTCTTCTTCTTCTTTTTTTTGTTTTTTTTTTTTTGTTTTTTTTTTTTTACCATTTTAAGCTGGTTCACATATGCTTGCTAGCCTTATTAGGCTTCGGTACCTCTCTAGAAATTGAGAAAGTTATGCCATCGCAATATGAAATCGAAGGTTCGATCAATCGGACGATCGAGGAAGTTGAGAAAATGATTGGAAACAATCCGAGCTTACCGAAACTTAGTCGAGGCGACATTGTCAATATCCTTTACAATATAACTTCGAAGGATATGTTATCTATTGAAGACGAAACTCTTGGAGCTCTTCAGAAGATGAGATCGGATTATCAGCGAGCTTTAATGGTGGTCCTGCCTTACAAACTCAAAAGCTCAGAAAATTTGAAAGATCTGTATACGAAGCCACCTATTGTGCAAATACTCGAAGACGGAGATTTAGATAATAAAAAAGCGACGAGACTCGAAGCTACTTACAATCCAAGTACTTACTCAGGTAATGATGTTCTTCAATCTAAAAATTCTATTAACAATATACATCAATTGATTGCAGCTCATATGAAAGTTAATGGCGATAAAAGTTCTGGAGCTCCTGTTAAAATGGACGCTCATTATCTTAAAACAATGGCTGACGTTTTAAATGACACCAATGTGAAATTCGAACCACAAAAGTATAATTTCAATTTTGATTTAATCGATCAACGAGCCGAAGCTTCCCAAACGTCTATAGCAACGAAGCGACCGATTTATAAGGGCACATTTTCACGATATAGAACGAGTACGCAAAGTCCACCTAGACTGGAAATTATTTATAGCTCAACGTCGACGAGGAAGCCAACAACTGGTAATAAGCCAGACACGACAATCGTACAAAATAAATCTACGCAAAATATTTTATCGTCAGATCAATGGCAGTATTACGCTCCACCAAGCACGACCACTACCCATAAGACAACCATGCCAGATAATCCATTGTGGGAGCCGATGTCAGCTTTTGTGCCTACGGATGCGCCGATCAAGCCAGCACCAATTTTCGTAACACCGAGCGCGATGATTAATCAAGAAACTACATATTCTAATGTTAATAACGAGGCAATTATAATCAACGTAACAAGCACAACTGTCAAATCTACGCCGATGAGACAAGATGTTGAATTATTATTGAAATCAATTGGTCTTGAGCCAATAAAGTCCACTGATCCGAAGAATAGCATTAAATTTATGAAAAATACTATTGATTCGCAATTAAATATCCATTCCCATAGTAACAATCAGAATTCGAAATTGGAAGCAGTAAGATCGAATTTATCGAATACATTACACAATAATTCAATCGCGTCATCATCGTTAAAAATGAAAGATAATATCAAAAATTTATCGCCAGATATACAATTACTTTTCAAACAGTTTGGATTACAATCTCATAATCAAAATGATATACCGGCATTTACAACTCCAAAGTCAACGACAGTTACGGCAATTATCAATTCATATACTCGTTTCAAACCCTTACCAACTTCCTCCGTTCGAGATAAAGATTTTCGTAACTTCTTGGCGAGGTTTGGATTGGGAATTGGAGCAAGTCGAAACGAAAAGGCAATGCAACAGTTGCAAACAACGAAAAGGCCTTCCTTAATCGACGCTGTGCCTGAAAATATGAAAAGAATTTTAGAAAATATAGGGCTAATTAAGACGAGTCAAAGAGGAGAGTCTAAATTCAAGGAGGACATCAATTTTCAAACCCAGAGCTCAAAGATTGTCGAGCAAACGACTTTGTCGAGCGAGCATATATTCAAACCTTACGAAAGTGCAATTGAGGATAAGGAACAAAATAATAAGATAAAAAATCTGCTGAATACGGTAAGAATGGTTCAAGAAGGCAGAGCTAATGTACAAGATGTCCAAGACATAGCTAACGATCTTCTATCAAATACAAAATCCCTTGAAAATGGTCCTGATCCGCTTAAGCTGGAGGCCATTTTAAATAATTATAAAAACAGTTTGAAGAACGAAGTGAAGAGGCAACAGGCGCAAGTAACGTCCACGAGCACGAGTACAGCGACTTCGACGTTAGCTGATTTAGATGAAACAACGCCATCCGTCATAGCTACAACCGGTATTAAAAGATTTATGATTTATCTCGTAGAGATGTCAGAGCTTTGGGTTCGGAGGATCATTGGGGGACTGAGGAAGATGAAGGGTTTGCTAACATCATTCACCAGGGAGCTCAGGCAAACGGCCGTTGACTGATCGCGCGACTAACTCTTACGAAATCTATCTAACCCGAGCTACGATTATCCATTTGATTATTTGGCCTGCGTATGTTTTCTCTACCATTTGTGGTTTAACAACAACCGAGCATTATTGTTATAGCATGCCTTTTTCTTCATTCTCCATCACATACGTAAGTGTGCTTTGGAAATAATTATTCACACTAACCATATTGCGTCTATATAAATTCTTTCTGATTATATTACGATGACGATGACTACTTTAATAATTTACTTTAGTAATTTCATATTGTCGATTTTATCTAATACAAAATGCAAATACATTTATGTTATTACGTTTCGTATGATCAATCCCGATACTGTGAATCCCATACTTGTTTGTATATAAAGAGGATTTTTCGTAGTGCTTATCACGAATGGAAATATAATTAATGATCTTTATAAAAAAAAAAAAAAAAAAAAAAAAAAAAAAAAAAATTTATAATGTCATCATAGTCCACTGATATTGCAATATTTCATTGTAGCATTATTTGTGATATGTAGATTGAGATATTAAGAATTGTAGATATTAAGACAAGTAAATATGAATTGCAAATTTATTCGCACCCTACTATGAATTATACTAATTATTTTTTATAGACGAAAGCAAAAAACAAAAAGAAAAAACGAACTTGAATAATCAAAAGACAAAATTGGTGGATTATTGAACTTGTTTTAGTCTTAATTAAGTATTCTATTTTGCCACTGATTTATTGTATTATCATTCACAATGTGTATCCTTTGCCTTTCAATGTTCATTTCAACAATATTATCACAATATCGCCATTTAATAATCGCCAATTAATTCTGTCTGTAACTATTAATATCTGTTTTCTTTTCAACTATTTAAAAAAAAAATAATAATAATAATACTAACTCAATTCAATCATTATGTTGGAATAACTCATTTAAAAAAACTATCGCATGCTTATAAATAATTTAATTATCTATTTATTACAAGAGGGCCGTAACGAAAAATTTAAATCTTAAACGTAATAAATATAGTATATTAAATCAGGTAATATAATTCTATAATTATTCTTAAAAATTTCTTGGCCTTATTTTTATTTGCACATTATTTATCTTTCACGTTGTTTATGCTACTTAAATCGATAGACAATATATCAATATTTTTAACTATTTTTAATTTAATCTATTACTCAAACATTATTAAGTATAAGATAATATTGAATTATAAAGTATAAGTTATTTTAAGTTTACAATATCTGTGTATAAAAATGTATATATTGGAATATTAAATTTGATTGTTATTAAATTGTACTAAATTATACTAATAGTGTAATGAGGAAAGGATTGATTTGGAAATTATATAAATAGTAGAAATTCTTGAATAGTTTAATAATTAGATTAGCAAATGATAATGCAATAGAAACAATTGTACATATTGAGCTTGAGATAATTAATAATTGGTGTGATTTTTAAACGGTATATTAATAAATTAGTATTGACGGAAAATTTTCTTCACGCACATCTATTTTTATAATTAAAAATAATATTCCCATTGTACATTATGAAATCTTATAGATTCGCCGAATTTATAATCCTATACGATAAATAGATGGTAAAATATATAACTGAATGTTTTTTTAGAATCATCCGGTTCATTCTCGGAATCCATAACATCCTCGCCACTAGTTGGGGATAATTCAAAAGAGCCAAAAATATCTCAGTCATCCATATCATCTACTGTCACCACCCAAGCAACACAACCCTCATTCTTCGACACTTTTGACATTTCGGACTATCTGAATAAAACCGAGAGTGACAGCAGCAATACCGTCACCTCGGCCGAGTCATCCTCGACTTCTGAGAACAGCACAAAATCTAGTTTCTTCGATACCTTCGACATCAATGATTATACTAACAACACAGCTGATGAAAATTCGGCTAAGGTTGCCGACGCAAATTTACCTGACCTCGAGGCCTCGTTTGGAGGAAGCACAGCGGAGCCGGACCCGGTTATACCTACAAGACCGAAGACTGGACTTTACTTCCTGGTAGACTGGAACACGTTTTTGGAAGTGGGCGAGGAAGGCAAAGAAAAAGTTAACTTGCGATTCGCACCGAAAGTGGGCGACAGATCAAGATTCTTATCTGTCAAGATGCCCTAGAAAATCTAGAAGAACCCCCCTAATTTATTATTATTTACAAGTTTGTTTGTTTGTTTGTTTCTTTGTTTGTTTGTTTTTTTTTTTTTTTTTTCGTAATTGGAGATTTATAATAGTAGTATAGCCATTGCACGTTTTTATGTTTAACGTATAATTTTTTGTTTTAACGGAATGAACTTTTAAAATAATTTTTTCAATGTTTATTTTACAATATAATGCATAGATGTTTAAGAACAGAGGATATTTTGTAACTTGTAATTATTTATTTTTTTCATTAAGAGTTTATGTATAATTAATTGCTATTCAAATAGTCGACTGTATTATGTATTATTTTGTTTTTCTTTTTTTCTTTTTTCTTTATTTTTTCATAATTAAACAATTTTTATGTATCGATTAATAAAAATCATTGCATGTAATATAGACATTTTGTTACTGAAGAGACAAATTTTTATGAAAGAAACCAATTTCATGTAAATATAATGCATATTGGTATGTCTATAAGTGTCATCGTGATGTCTATAAATTGTATGTGCAAAGATTTTGCATTAATTACATAATTCAGATAATGCACTATTATATCGGTGTACTATATTGAAAGCAGTTATATATTAATTATATAATTAATTATTCTATTTTACAAATATAGTTTGTCATAGTCTGTGTAAGATTAAGATAATAAGATTAAGAAGCAACTTTATTGTATGATACAATATTTTTCTAATCTATGTATTTCATGATATAAAAATTATGTTTTTGAAGACTTTACGGATATCAAGCTTCGATTGTTCACGCATAATTATAAACATTATAAGCTTATATTTTACTTTAATTTTACTATATTTATATCAACCATTGTAAATATAATTTTCTAATAGTAGTGGCTAATTCTGTTTTACAGAGAGCTTATTAATAATTGAAAAGCTTGTATATGCAATATCAAGCTTTATTGACAAAATCTAAAAGATTTAAACAAAATAAGAACGAAAGTATTAAATCGATATATAAAGTTAATATAAATAGAGATAAATACTTATATGATTTAACGAAATAGCTAATAAAAATGATATTAATTTAGAAATTAATTTGCGGTCGTAAAAATAGCTTGTTTTAATGTTTAGTCATTAGTGTATATTAATTATACATTTATTATTGTGAATATTATTTGTTATCAATAAATTTATATAATCAAAAATGAATGGCATATTTTAACTGTTTATTATTATAATTTCGTTAGTTAATTTTTTTCTAAACATATTTTTTACACCTATCGGTATTATGTTACAATCTAAAATGTAATTGTTGCAAGTAACTATACCATAAAATCATAGAAATATTTAGTAAAGAAATTATTTAGCAGGTATAATTTAATAATTATTAAGTTTGTAAATCTGTATATAAAAATTGAAAGCAAATCGTAGAATAATTACAGGAAAAACATTGCATTAATTAAAATAAATGTAATTACTGATAATTAGATACAATATTGCTCATATGGAATTTTAATTCTTGATAATAGAGAATGCAACGTTACATGAACAATATAAAATACATGGATTGTACGTAATAAATTCATAAATGGATTGCATCTACGAATAGACTACTTGAGAAATAGGAAATGCAAGTAGTTCATTCGGTAAGTAATATTTAATAATATAGTATTGTATTTAAAATATATTATGCTTTAATATATTTATTTATTATTAAATGAAATATTCAGACGTTACAATTATATTTTCACGAGTCTTTGATGAATAGCCGAAAAGTTAAAATAAAATAAAAGAATCCGTAATATACAATGTAAATTTCCTTGTATTAGAACTCCTTGTTGGGAGTTGAATAGAGGAATTTATACATTCTAGGTACAAAAAATGCTAATTATATTAACAATAAAAATGAACTTTAATAATTACATTTCCAATAAAATTGCATAATCAATAATTATTGTTTTATTATTTGACACAAAACATACGATGTTCAATATTTATTAAAATTTGTTGAGATAACTGAAATTAATCTGCAAGAAAGGCTAAAGGTTAATGTTATTGCAAAAATATATGCTTTACAAATTCAAAACCATTATCATATTATATTTCTGTATTTTTGTTTCTGGCCTTCATGTAGTTTTATAAGGTCAGTTGAAATCAGTAAAAAAAACGTATGAATTATGGTGATTTGTGCACCAAACATTTTCTTGAAGTCGACTTCTAGTTTCGTAATAATTCAAAATTTTGGAAATGTTTGTTATGTTAAGGATTATATATCATTAAATTATAAAGTAATTTTATACTTTGGAGCTGTTGGAAAATCTGTATGTGATACAAAATTCTGGAAGGCTTTGTAGTTTCGAAATCTTGGAAATAACTGTTTGCTAAAAATAGCCTTTTATTTAAAATTTATTATTATCGCATGAATAAAAATTTTACCGATATCTTTATTTTTAATATTGTAGTACGTTTTATATTTGGAAAATGTAATAGGTACATAAATATTAGGTAATGATGGATTTAACAATCAAAGTTGGCTATTAAATTATAAAATAGTCCCTTAAGAGAAGTTCTTTTGGAAAATTCATATTAGCCAATTATTGTTCAAGTAAAAATTGTTTAAGTAACAATAGGTAGTGAAAGAGTGATTGGGAAAGAAAAAATCTATTTCTAATTCAATATATCAGTAAATTATTGAAAAATTTATTAAGTATTTTTTGTTTATAAACATATAATTATTGCTAGTACTGCTTTGTCAGACAAATAATTATAATTATTATAATGCGTAATTTTTGTCACCCCTGCATTCACTGTATAGTAATATGCATCGAAGAGAACGTTGCTGCCGTATTCAGGGGCAGTGACAATATTTTCTTTGCTATATTAACGCTCTATTTGTGATAATGTAATAAGCGCTTTTTTTCTTGTTAAAAAAAGTGGATAGTAAATAAATATATTTTTAATGATATCTTCTTAGCCTGGAGATGAAATTTATATAGATTTATAATGTATCAACTGAAAATTAACAGGTAAATATATATATATATATATATATATATATATAAATTAGAGCATTTAATAGTAAATTGTCAAAGTGTAAAAAATGATGTAAAATTACAAATTAGGTTGACAAGAATTTTATAGATATAGAATATAATGATTATTTTATTATAATTGTATTATGATGTTGGAATTCTTTTCAAAGATGATTTGACATAACTTTATTATCTACGTATGTATTAACCTAGTGGATTGCTCGTGTCGGCTTACAGGTATCATTTTCAACTTCGAAAATTTACTTTTTCGTCTGCAGGTGCCGTCATTGTCTCAAGAAAATTCTTATTTCCAATTAAATCTAATAGAATCAATTTATTAAAATATATTTACAAATCAAAATATGACATCTTATAAGTTTAAATTAATTATTCCAATATTATGTTTTGACAATGTCCAAAAAATTATTAGAACGATTTTTAACGTCTTCTATCCTTCTTTAGTTTTATATAAAAATATTTTTATTAATCTCTCCGCCTGTTGCGATAGTTGCATTCAAAATATTTTCACTGGAAATATTCGACATTAGATTTATCTTAACTTTATGAGATTCATTATTTGTAGCCAATATCGTTGTTAAAAAAATTAATGCAAACAGTAATAATCGTGAGGCATTTTAAAAGTGTAATGTAATTTATATGCATTTATAGCTATTGAATTCGTACATATTACATAAAACGACGGTAAAACATATATAAACAGAGGACACCTCCATGATATTCCCTCTGAATATGAATTCTCACTAAAAGTCAGTGCTACCCACATATAAATACTCCCGCACATTGTGGTACTCACACATATCACCAGTTATTATATGATCATCTCATCGTAGATATTCATAGAATGCAAATTTTCGCACGTTAAGCTTGGTTCAGCTGGTTCAGCTCCAAGATTTCTCATCGTCTAAAAAATACCTTCTAATAAACTTTACTTTATTTTATTATATTGTTTCACCTTACCTCAGGCATTGTAGTCCAATGATTCCCTGCATCCAACCTGCCACGCCTTATGCCCAAGGGTTGCTCCATAATGCTTATCGGACAAGCGTCCGAATCATGATTGAAGGTAGCAAGTCGAAGGCGGAACCTTCATTGTCAAGTCTCTGATGCACTAGGAAATGAACAGTGTTAATATTCAATCGCTGTTGCGGTCGCCAACGCTATCGCTATTTCATAAAATGCATTATTTTAATGTTTTAATTGGCGATTTATTGCTAGAATCATTATACTTTAAAGATAAACATCGTGAATTTGAATAGAAGTGAATAGAGTTGAATGGGTGAGCTGAGTTATATTGCGAGCGTTAATCGTGCACTTGAGTTTTATATAACATTTGATTACATTAAAATATAGTAATTATAAACGATTGTCATTGGCAAATTCCACTAATGATTATGCAGAGAGAATATTTAAAGTAGCGCTATCCAATAGAGGATATAAAAATAAAATTACTGACATTAAGTGAAAGAGAGATTAAGATTCGTGTGGTAAATGTGTTGCTTTATAAACGTCAAAGAAAAGAAAGTAGTCTGATAGACAATGATGAACTATATTGAGAAAGATGATATGCTTAGCTCTATGGAAACAATGTATGTGCGGATATAATGGGCGAAAATTATTACATTGCATTCATGGAAAAATCGAATTCTTTTGTGTTGTAAATAATGTTCGGTGTAGTTTTTGAACATTTTCTTAGGTCATTATAGAATATAGTTATTGCCCTATGTGTAAAAATGATATTTTTTTCTTAATTAAAAATTACATAACACAAATATAATAAAACTTATTAAAATAACAATAAAGTTATTTCATAAATAATAATGAAAAATTCTTAATCAAACAGTGTAGATACATAGTATGCGTAATAATTTCTAAAAAATTATAAATTAAAATTATACATTATAAATTTTATTTCAAAATTGTAAAAACTACAGAGAACCATGGCTTTTCGCATATATATATATATATATATATATATATATATGCGTGACGTAATTA